GGGTGGGTGGGGAGGGTGAGAAGTGTGTGAGAACTTGTTAATCTTATTTCACCGTCTCACAAATAAATGTATAGACGCAAGGAAACAATACGCGAATTATTTTCACGTAGGATAATCGAATACCTACAAATATCTTATAGAACCATAGCGTCTCACGACACTGACCAACACGCCTTATAGACAGTTGGGTAAGTCAAAACACCCCGATGCAGCCCATAAGTAGGGACGCCGACATGAAGATGCCAAAATTTCTAGTTATCTTAGACTACTAAATGTTTAAAAAAACTAAATTATTTTGACTTTGAAATTATATAAAAATAGAAATAATTGGAAACATAAATTGTGGATTAAAATTCTCAGATTCGATAGTACTTGAAAATGATCAAATAAAAATTTAAGCTTTAATGTAAATAAATCTTTATGTGATCTATGAAAATCATATATTGGGGCTAAGCTTAGGGGCTGACAAATTGACTTAAAATTGAAATATCATAAATTGAGGCTAAGCTTGATTGGGGTAGGTTTAGGGACGGGAAAATTGACTTAAATAAGAATGCATAAATTGGGGCTAAATTTAAGTATATAAATGTCTTTTTTAAATTTTAAACTATGACTTCATATGTCCAATCGCCACCAAATCCGCAATCTGATTATGCAAGCGAACTGAAGTCATTCTTTTGAAAAGTCAAAATGTGATTTTATGCAAACATTAAGATAATAATGATTTTCACTACCATATTTGCTACACATTTGTAAGAGAACAGAATGCGGTATTTCAAAAATTTAAAGTGAATTTCTCTATGCATCAATGTATTCATTCAAATTAAATAAATTTAAATAAATTCGATTCTTACATGTGTTTTTTAAAGCTATTCTTGATTCAATTCATGTTTGCCTTAAGACATGCAAATCTATTTACGATAATCAAATAAATAAAATTAAAAGCCCGCATGTGCTTCAACCAATGTAGGAAATGCTTAAACTAGGTTCGAGAATGCTGCACGATTAATATAAAACTATGTTTAAAATAGCCGTTTGAGCTCCACCAAATTGATTAATGTCTGTTGACCTCACTCTTGGTGAAGTCTATTTTCTCTCCGCTCTCAATCTTGTAGAGCCTATAATCTTGCCTTAATTGTATTAGAGACTACCATAGAGGACTAGTGGATGATTAGGGCCCGAAATTAGAACTCAAACCAAATTCTTACTCTCTTTGATTCAAAATTTACTTAGCCTTAATCATTGGCATTGAGTTGATCATTACTAGGTTGTTAAAATTAAAGGTTGAGTACCCATAGGTCTTTGACATGGCTTCGAGGTGACCCAATGAGCCTAGAGACTCGACTTCATGACTTACACCTTTTGACCCTTGGTTAACCTGAGTTGCCTTTGGTTTGGTTTAGATGGGCTTGACTCAAATTAGAATTAAAATTAAAATCAACACAAATTGAAACTTAACAAAACATACTTAACTTAAATTTGAAATATAATCAACTCAGTATAAGAAAATAAATTAAACCTATTGTGATCTCTCTGGCTCATTATATGGCTTGAAATTTTATTCCGTACATTGTATCACATTCAGAATGAATATATTCGTGATAGGGTTGGTGTAGCTCCTGTGACAGACAAAATTAGAGAAAGTCGTCTTAGATGGTTTGGTCATATTAAACGTCGACCATTAGATGATCCAATTAGGAGAGTAGATGTTTTAAATTTAACTTGTGTTAAGAAAGGCAGAGGTAGACCTAGGAAGACTTGGGCTTATTGTATTTAAATTGGAGGAGTGTACATCAAAGTTGGATAGTAACTTGACACCATTTTTATGTGGATTTGTGCACTTTAAGTTTTATGCATGAAAATTTATCTCACGTAAAAGATAACTTAAAAGCGATGTTTCACGAAATGGAACACACAAGTGCATTTGGATTGTCAAAATCATTCAAATGAGCCCGTTCATATCCAAATGAGACTCTTTTGAGGTGTGGTAGAACCATGATAATTTGGATAATAATAAGAATAGTAATCATAACCCATTAAAATATTAAAATCAAAACAAAAAAGGGAAATTAAAATCATATAACTTTAAACTAAAATTCATATTTAATCACAAATTAAAAGTTAAACCAAAATTTAACACAAATTTATCTTAATTAAAATTTTTAAAATTTAAAACCAACTTGAAATTAACATTAACATGAACTTTAAATTACATTTTAAACATACATTGAACTTAAACTAAATAAAATTAAAACTTAAACCAAAACAAACGTAAAACTAAATCTAAATTTAACATATAATCAAAATCTAATTTCATTTAATTTGAATCAATTTTAATTTTGAAACTAACATTAAATATAATTATAATGAATATAAATCACCAAACTTTTAATACAACTTAATGTTAAATTTAAATCTTAAATCCAATACAAATATAATTTAAACAACTTAACAATCCAAATTTAATGTAAGGGTCTGTTTGGGGTAGCTGTAGCTTATTGAATAATCTGCTGATAAACTGATTAAAAATAATCAGCTGATAAGCTAGGTGCGGTGACTATTACAAATTTTTATTTTTTTGGAAAAGTCAGATCGTTGCCAATAAGCTCCCACCACACCTAGATAGGTGCGGTGTGAAAATGTTGTTTTCTGCGTTTTAAAAACGCATAAGTTGCCAAAACGCAGTTTACCCAAACAGGCCAGGTGTATTTTCAAAACGCCACCGCACCAAATAAGCTGCCTCAAACGGGAATCTGCTAAACTTCAACCAAAATTTAAGTTAAACTAATTCACACTTAAACTGAAAAAAATTAATTTAATTAAAATCAAATCTAAAATAAACCAAATTTATAACTAAAAAAATATTAAAATCAAATGAAAATTTAACTACATTCCGCCCAAATCTTTTGTGTGTAATGTTTATCACCTATATTTTATGTTATTTTACAGACACACCACCTCCGTATAGTTGAAATAGTGTCGGTGTTAGACATGTAAATACAAAAGAATTGAGTGGTATGCATGCAAATACCCATCCAATTCTTCATTTGGACGCGCTAAACCCTCCTTTCCACCTCCACCGATGGATAAAAGCCAAAGGGGAAGCCCTTTGATTCCCCAACTTATATTTTTCGGCCACTCTTCTTGTTCTAAGCTGAGGGGATTGCGTGAGAGATTCCTTGCCCTCTCTTATTTTCATGAAGCTAAGACCCCCCTTCTCAAACCGAAAGCAACTAAATGTCTCTTCTCCATTCACGAAACCCTCCTTCTCTACCAACCGAAGTCACAAGAGGCCTCCTTCATTCACAAGATAGGAAGAAGAATTGTCATTCCCCAAACAACCCTAAGGAAATCCCAACTTCCCTTTGTTAATTGCGAAGAAGTTGAATCCCTCTTCCTTACCTCCTTTTCAAGCCATCGAGCTCTCTCCCTCTTGCCTTGGATTCACACGAGCTTTTGATTTCCTCTTCTCTTTTTAGCCGAAGCTCCTATGGGAGACACTTGGATTTGGCTTCTCGCAGCCCTAAATTGAGAGTAGCGAACCCGACAACCCCGTCGCAGAGGTATATCTTCTTCCAAAAGAAATTTCTGCATTGTTTTCTTTTTTACCCATAGAAGTATAAGAATATTTTATACTTCTAGGGGAAAATGAAATTT